GTAAGAGGCTGATGCGTGTGTGGTTTGTTTTGATGGGATGCACAGGATGTTGGTATTGACTGGTGCATGCCCGAAAAATAAATGATGCACACAAAGAGGGGGTTATTTTCCCTAAACGACTGGACCTTTTTGCAGCTATTCCACTAGTTTTGTATTTAGTTATGAGGTTTGAATACTGTGTTATTTAGTGCATGGTATGCTTTTTATCATGGGAGAAGTGTGGAGGAAAGAGGCTGATGCTTGTCGTTTGTTTTGATGAGATGTACATGGTTGTTTTGACTAGTGCATATCTAAAAAACAAAATGCACAGTAGCCAGCCTTGTCAAAAGGGATGCTGTTTTTCTTTAAAATGTGACTATTTTTGCAGTTATTCCACTAATTTTGCATTTAATTGTGATTATGTATTTTAGTTCCGTTTTATGCATGCTAAAGAGGCTGATTTTTGTGGTTTGTTTTGATGGGATGTACATGAAGGTTGATTTGACTGGTGCATGTAAGGGGAAAAAAATGCACACACAAATCAGGCTGGTGAAAGCTTTGTCCCTTTTCCTAAATGAGTAGATCATTTGCAGTTATTCCACTAATGTATTTGTATTTAAATACTGTATTTTAGTGACATTTTAAGCACCATTGTTTTGTGCATGCCTTTTTGTTATGGGACAAGTGTAGAGGTAAGAGGTTGATTTTTGTGGTTTGTTTTGATGGGCTGCACAGAATTGTTGTTTTTACTGGAAAAAAAAGATGCGCACATAAATCAGGCCAGTAGTGAAAAGGGGGCTTTTTGCATTTCTTTCACAATTTTTTTAATTAGGTTACTGCATTTTACTGCTGCATTTTCCTTGTCCAATTATTTCACTAATTTTGCGTGTAATTATGAGGTTACTGTATTTTAGTGCCATATGCATCCTTTTTATTACGAGGCAAGTGTGGAGGAAAGAGGCTTTGTTTTGATGAGATGTACAGGATGGTTGTTTTGACTGGTGCATGTGTAAAAAAAAAAAAAAAAAGATGCACACATAAATCAGGCCAGTAGTCATGCAGACTGGTCAAAGGGTTGGTCCTTTTTCCTAAATGAGTATTTCTATATGCAGTTAATCCACTAATGTATTTGTTTTTATACTTTTTATAATACAGTTTTTTTTTTGTGTGGCATTTTAACCATTTTATTTGTTCATGACATGCTTTTATTATGGGACAAACATGGATTTTGTGCTTTGTTTTGACTGGTGCAGGTTCGAAAAATAGATTTAAACATAAATCAGTGAGCCTGGGGAAGAGGGTGAATCTTTTTCCTTAATATAGCGATTTTTGCAATCATTCCACTAATTTTGTATTGAATTATGAGGTTTAAATACTGTATTTTTGTGGCATTTTAAGTAATAGTGTTTTTAGTGCATGCTTATTTTATTATGGGACAAATGTGGCGTTAAGAGAATGATTTTTGGGGTTTGTTTTGATGAGATGTACAGGATGGTTGTTTGACTGCGCCTGTCTGAAAAACAAAATGCACAGATAATGCACAGTAGCCAGACTTGTCAAAGTGGAGGCTGTTTGTCCTTGTCTAGTTAATTCACTAATTTTGCATTTAATTATGAGGTTTAAATACTGTATTTTAGTGCCGTTTTATTCATGCTTTTTATTATGAGACAAGTGTGGAGGAAAGAGGCTGATTTCGTGGTTTGCTTTGAGATGAATGGTTGTTTTGACTGGTGCATGTGTGAAAAAAAGTTACTGTATTAGGTTAGGTTAGGTTGATTAGGTTACTGTATTTTACTGCTGTATATTCCTTGTCCAATTATTTCACTAATTTTGCGTGTAATTATGAGGTTTACATACTGTATTTTAGTGCCATATGCGTCCTTTTTTATTAAAAGACAATTGTGGAAGAAAAGAGGCTGATTTTGTGGTTTGTTTTGATGAGATGTACAGGATGGTTGTTTTGACTGGTGCATATGTAAAAATAAAAAAAGATGCACACAAAAATCAGGCCAGTAATCAGACTGGTCAAAGGGGTGGTCCTTTTTCCTAAATGATTAGTCCTATATGCAGTTAATCTACTTATGTATTTGTTTTTATACTGTTTACAGTACAGTTTTTTTTGTGACCTTTTAACCATTTTATTTATGCATGACATGCTTTTATTATGGGACAAACATGTCTTTTGCGCTTTGTTTTGACTGGTGCAGGTTCGAAAAATAGATTTAAACATAAATCAGTGAGCCTGGTGAAGAGGGTGATTCTTTTTCCTTAATATAGCGATTTTTGCAATCATTCCACTAATTTTGTATTGAATTATGAGGTTTAAATACTGTATTTTTGTGGCATTTTAAGTAATAGTGTTTTTAGTGCATGCTTATTTTATCATGGGACAAATGTGGCGTTAAGAGAATGATTTTTGGGGTTTGTTTTGATGAGATGTACAGGATGGTTGTTTGACTGGTGCCTGTCTGAAAAACAAAATGCACAGATAATGCACAGTAGCCAGCCTTGTCAAAGTGGAGGCTGTTTGTCCTTTTCTAGTTAATTCACTAATTTTGCATTTAATTATGAGGCTTAAATACTGAGTTTTAGTGCCGTTTTATGCATGCTTTTTATTATGAGACAAGTGTGGAGGAAAGAGGCTGATTTTGTGGTTTGCTGTGAGATGTACAGAATGGTTGTTTTGACTGGTGCATGTGTGAAAAAAAGATGCACATAAACCAGACCAGTAGTGAAAAGGGGGGCTTTTTGCATTCCTTTCACAAATTTTTTAATGAGGTTACTGTAGTTTACTGCTGTATTTTCCTTGTCCAATTATTTCACTTTGCGTGTAATTATGAAGTTTACATACTGTATTTTAGGGCCATATGCATCCTTTTTAATTAAAGGATAAGTCTGAAGAAAAGAGACTGATTTTGTGGTTTGTTTTGATGAGATGTACAGGATGGTTGTTTTGACTGGTGCAAAAGATGCACACATAAATCAGGCCAGTAGTCAGACTGGTTAAAGGGGTGATTCTTTTTCCTAAATGAGTATGCAGTTAATCCACTAATGTATTTGTTTTTATACTGTTTATAATACAGTTATTTTTGTGTGTGACATTTTAACCATTTTATTTGTGCATGACATGCTTTTTTATTATGGGACAAACATGGATTTTGTGTTTTGTTTTGACTGGTGCAGGTCCGAAAAAAAAAAGATTTAAACATAAATCAGTGAGCCTGGTGAAGAGTGTGGTTCTTTTTCCTTAATATAAAAATTTTTGCAATTATTCCACTTAATTTTGTATTTAATTATGATGTTTAAATACTGTATTTTAGTGTCATTTATTGTTTTTAGTGCATGCTTATTTTATTACGGGACATATGTGGCGGTAAGAGGATGATTTTTGTGGTTTGTTTTGATGGGCTGCACGGGATGGTTGTTTTTACTGGAGAAAAAAAAGATGCACTCATAAATCAGACAAGTAGTGAAAAGGGGGCTTTTTGCAGTCGTTTCACTAACTTTTTAATGAGGTTACTGTATTTTACGGCTGTATTTTCCTTGTCCAATTACTTTGCTTATTTTGTGTGTAATTATGTGGTTTACATACTGTATTTTAGTGCCATTTTATGCATCCTTTATATTAAAAGACAAGTGTGGAGGAAAGAGATTTTACACACATAAATCAGGCCAGTAGTCAGACTGGTCAAAGGGGGGGGTCCTTTTCCCTAAATGAGTAGTCGTAAATGCAGTTAATCCACTAATGCATTTGTTTTTATACAGTTTATAATACAGTTTTTTTTTGGCATTTTAACCATTTTATTTGTGCATGACATGCTTTTTTATTATGGGACAAACATGGATTTTGTGCTTTGTTTTGACTGGTGCAGGTCCGAAAAAAAGATTTAAACATAAATCAGTGAGCCTGGTGAAGAGGGTGATTCTTTTTCCTTAATATAGCAATTTTTGCAATCATTCCACTAATTTTGTATTGAATTATGAGGTTTAAATACTGTATTTTTGTGGCATTTTAAGTAATAGTGTTTTTAGTGCATGCTTATTTTATTATGGGACAAATGTGGCGTTAAGAGAATGATTTTTGGGGTTTGTTTTGATGAGATGTACAGGATGGTTGTTTGACTGCGCCTGTCTGAAAAACAAAATGCACAGATAATGCACAGTAGCCAGCCTTGTCAAAGTGAAGGCTGTTTGTCCTTGTCTAGTTAATTCACTAATTTTGCATTTAATTATGAGGCTTAAACACTGTATTTTAGTGCCGTTTTATGCATGCTTTTTATTATGAGACAAGTGTGGAGGAAAGAGGCTGATTTTGTGGTTTGCTGTGAGATGTACAGAATGGTTGTTTTGACTAGTGCATGTGTGAAAAAAAGATGCACATAAACCAGACCAGTAGTGAAAAGGGGGCTTTTTGCATTCCTTTCACAAATTTTTAAAGAGGTTACTGTAGTTTACTGCTGTATTTTCCTTGTCCAATTATTTCACTTTGCGTGTAATTATGAAGTTTACATACTGTATTTTAGTGCCATATGCATCCTTTTTAATTAAAGGATAAGTCTGAAGGAAAGAGGCTGATTTTGTGGTTTGTTTTGATGAGATGTACAGGATGGTTGTTTTGACTGGTGCAAAAGATGCACACATAAATCAGGCCAGTAGTCAGACTGGTTAAAGGGGTGATTCTTTTTCCTAAATGAGTATGCAGTTAATCCACTAATGTATTTGTTTTTATACTGTTTATAATACAGTTATTTTTGTGTGTGACATTTTAACCATTTTATTTGTGCATGACATGCTTTTTTATTATGGGACAAACATGGATTTTGTGCTTTGTTTTGACTGGTGCAGGTCCGAAAAAAAAAAAAAGATTTCAACATAAATCAGTGAGCCTGGTGAAGAGGGTGATTCTTTTTCCTTAATATAACGATTTTTGCAATTATTCCACTTAATTTTGTATTTAATTATGATGTTTAAATACTGTATTTTAGTGTCATTTATTGTTTTTAGTGCATGCTTATTTTATT